AGCCCTCCTCTGGTCTTCCTCGACACCCAGAACTTTCTTCTCCAGCTCCACTCCCAGCATCTTCCTGGCAGCAGCACAAGGAAAGGGGGAGCACTGTGATGTGAGGGTGGGAGACTCTTGACTTTTGATGGTGTGTGTTTGTGTGTGTGTGGGGGGGCTCTAGTCTTATAGATATATAGGCAACCATAATGCTAATGCAGCCTGCGACAAAACCGAGTTTGACCCTTGCCCTGTATTTATAATACAGCTACTTCAATAGCTATATATATAAAAAAAAAAAAAAAAAAAGCTGTTGGTAGGGACTGTGTTGACTGTACAAAGTGACATTTCATAAAGTTCTATTCAAGCAGCGGTATTGCAATGAGGTAGTTTGCATCCCATTGTGCTGAAAAAGCACACACCATTACAATACAATAGAGTGAACACACCATAGGGAACAAGATTTTTGCCCTGTGCTGCACTGACCAAGGCTGCCTGGCGCAGTCCCAGCACACTTGGTTTGAACAAGCCCTTAAAAATAAAACAAGTATAAACACATACAATCAGGGGCGGACTGACCATTTGGAAACTCGGGTTTGGGTGTGGTTTGAGTGTGGGCAAGGACACAGGGGCCCCATGTTCCCCTATTGCCCAGGGGCCCCATGAGTTGTCAGTCCGCCCCTGCTCAGGACTGAAACACGTGGGTTTTTTGTGCTTTGAGAGAGAATAGCTGTGGTGTTGCACTGCTGAAACCCAATTCCATCCAAAACATTTTTTCTATATTGGACAGTGTAAGGAAGGGATACAACCTTTGCCTGATTTTATTGTGGCCTGTGCAGGGGCGGTCTGACCATTTGGAAACTCGGGCACTGCCCGAGGTCCCGGGGTCAGGAGGGGGCCCCATGAGATGCCCCTGGTACCTTTTTCATAGGCTTTTTTGAGTTTGGGCAAGGATACAGGGGCCCCATGATCCCCTATTGCCCGGGGGCCCAATGAGTTGTCAGTCCGCCCCTGCATACAATTGTGGCACAACCCATTTTGAAATGTAATGCGACTAAAAATGACATTTAAATTTACAGCCAGCTATGATTTTCTAAGGCAAGACACAGATAATACAAAAAAAAAAAAAAAACAACAATCGCTGGATGACTGTGCTGATGGGGCAATCTCTCCCACAGAGCTATTGTATTCTACCAGTGAGGAGCCTTTTCTGCCAGCAGAACCCAAGAATCACTGCTAGTGGCTACAGCTACTGACAGTGAATGCATGCAAAAAAATCTGACAGGCTAGTTGTACTGAAGTCAGTGGATGGATTGACTTCAGTAAGACCAGAGCCGGCCTGCCCATAGATGGACTGAATCTCAGCTGATTTAGCAGAGACAGTCTGAGATTCAATCCTTACATGGCTGGCTTAAAGCAGAGTTCCGGACCACCCACTAAAAAAAAAAAAATTAAAAGTCAGCAGCTACAAGTACTGTAGCTGTTAACTTTTTAATATTGGACACTTACCTGTCCAGGGTTGCAGCGATGTCTTCACCCTGAGCCGATTCCTCAAAATCGGCTGTCGGGGTGCTGGAGCTGCCATCCTGACTAAGGGAAACCTTGCAGCTTCAGAGCCGGTTTTCTACTGTGCACATGATCGAAGCGTACTGCACTTTGTGAATGGGCTGCAGTCCTCTGGGACCTGTGAAGTCTCCCAGAGGGCTGCATGGGGGCCGAACTGAGCCGGAAGTTGAAGTGGGTACCTGTCAAAACCAGGTACCTGCTCCTCCCTCCCCCCCAAAAGGTGGAAAATGGAGCAGAGGAGGGGGGAGGTTGATAAGTAGACCTTCCACTTTTGGGTGGAAACTCCTTTTTAAGGGTTCTTTCACATGGGTGGTAGAAAGGTGGCAGACAGGTTTTTCAAGAGGTTAACCTGCCACCTTCTGAATGTCTGCTTTTTTTTTTTTTTTTTAAAGTATTCCAAGGAAGATTAAAATACGGCACCATAACCATGGGTCAAGGGTGTGGCTCACCATTGCAGTGTGTTCTCATTTACTTTCTTTGACTGCATTTGACGGGTAGTGCCATCTGTCAAACTATGCAAGCATGAGTTAAATACCACCAAACATCATGGCCATGGTCCTTGTCTGGTTTCAATGGTAAAATTTAGCTGGGTGGTAGGAGGGGGCTCAACTGCCTAGTTTTACTGCCCTTTGGCCGTCCATGTGAGCGAGCCCTAATACTGTCAAAAATGTAAATGACTCCTGTACAGAATCCCCCCCGGAATGTTTTTTTTCTGCTCGTCTGCTTGGCTGATTGCTTTTCCCAAACCTTTTCTCTTAGAACTCTGATTATGTGGCTACAGCATGTAGAACGTCTCAGTCCAGGAAGGAGGAAATGACTGGAAATGAGTTATAAGCTTTTACCAAACAGAAGAAGGTAAGAGTCTGCAATTAGATTTGACAGAATCTTTGCATTGACATGAAGGAGGATTGCTATTTCTACTTGGCACAACTGGAGTATTATTTTAAGGGTGTTCATATTGGTTTCAGCCTGCAGAAGAAGACAGAAGAGGAAAGAAGAACACCGAAGAAGAAAGAAGAATATGTACATCAACCTTTCACAAAGCATTTGCACAGCATTTAACGAGCTTCCAGCAGCTCTGAGCCTGAAGACTTAAAGCAGCTACAGCCCCTGGTTATGTAGATTAAATCAACCCCATCACTAGACTTCACTTTCCAATAAAACCATACCTTTTAAAACAACAGGTCCAGAGCATAGGCAGAAGGAGATGGGAGTATTTACAATGCCCTTTAACAGGTATGGTAGAAAATAGATAGTAAAGTGACCAGGTCAATTTAAACACATTTCTCAATGAGGGTGCGAACTTTCACTTTTCAAAAAGTTTCTAAGTAGTCTAAGTCATACTGACCATGTACTGCTCAAAGTTTGATTGATTCCTATTGAATCAGTAGAGAATTCCAAGCTGTGGGTGGCTTTTGTTGAAGGAGCCAGTTTGAAAATTCTCACTCAAACAGCACTTGCATTCATTTCATATTCAGATGCAAGCATTGTACAGCTATTTGGCAGCCGCTGTTTCAACAGGATACAATAGCTGGAAGTTGACATTCTTTTATTCACAAAGCAAAATGTGAATGGAGGAAATCATTGAATTGGGGATGAATGAGAGAAAATTAAAAAAATTTAAAAATAAAATAAAAAAATGCAAGCAGACAGACATTCTAAATATAAAAACCCGCCTGCTTGCAGTCTTTTTCAAAATTTACACTGAGCTGCACATGTGGGCAGGACCCGTTCAGTCCCATTACGCGCTCCATGGGGCCCACCCAGCACATAGGGCTCACTCAGGTTTACTCAACAACCACAAGTAGCAAACAGAGCCCTCACAGATTTGCACATTTGCCTGCCATCTGCATGCATGGTGCCCCAGTGACATGGGGGCGAACTGCAAAGCCCACACACCATGCTCCTGGTCTTTTTGGACAACCGCATGAATTTATGGCCAGGATACAAGATGCTTCAGGCCTGAAGATTTTCTTGTGGTTCCCGGATAGTGCCTCTTTTTGCCTATCCACCACTAGACCAGCTAGCTAGCTAGACCAGGTTTGCAATACTGTTGGTTACACAGGAAAGTTGCTAAGGGATGCTCTGTCTAACTTAACCTAACAGGGTTCTTTCCCAACAACCACTTCTGACATATGAAGCAGCCAGAAGCTTGATCCAATGCAATTTTATTGTACCAGTCACAGTTCCAATAGCGTAGTAAACATCCTCTCAATCCTCTACACTTCGTATCCTCTCTATATATTATATAAAAATGGAGGATGCAAAGCGTAGAGGATGTTTTCTACTTTATTGGAACTGTGACTGATAGAGATATATATATATATATATATATATATATATATATATAGAGATTATATATATATATATCTAAGTCTCAAAGTATGGTAGTGTAGCTCTGTGCCCAGCTTCAAGGGAACCCCTCCAAAGGGAATCAAGGAGGATCAAGCTCAGCCTCTAGACAGTGCTCTCCAGCATTGCTGCTCTTCTTCCCATAGCCAGCAATCACCCTGAGCTAAGCTCCACCCAAGCTATTTAAATGATCCTGACAGAAAGGAAATTAAATAATTCTCCTTCCTGGAAGGATTTTAAAACAGGGATGCATTTAGGTGGGCCACCAAGTGAACCCTTCTTACACACATTTGCAGCTCAGTTTACATTTTGGCACAGTGCCAATGTGCCAGAATGACTGAAATCCTGCCCATGTGCAGGAGTGACATCATCCCACGCCGATCAATCAAGGAGGCTGAAGACCAGCACCCAGGTGAAACCAAGGAGAAGATGCCAGCAAGGGACCTCTCAGGCGTTGAACCTTTGAAGAAGATAAAAGCATTACAGGTTTTAGCTCCACTTTTAGCCAGCTTTACTTGAAACTTGTTGAAAGCCTGCTGAAACCTGCTAGAAGCTTGCTTAAAATGGTAGTTGGATCTTAGTTTAAAGTTTAGTTTCAACATCTGCATGCTGCAATTAAATTAAAGTTTGCTTTATAGTCTTCTTCAAAACTGATCAAAACTTGCTAAAGTTTCACAAACACTTTGTAAAAACCTGTTCTTTAACATACTGAAGCTCATATGTACAAGATCTAACAGAATGATGACCTGCAAACGTTTTTTTTTTTTTTTTTTTTTTGGGATAGAGTGGTTAAAAAATTAAGAAATTGCTAGGCGTTCATCTTAAATTCTGCATTAAGCCATAACCATAAAAAATACAGCCAACGACTTCACCAGAAACAAGTGATTAACGTTTGGCCATGATGAATTGCAGTGGCAATAATGATTGGTTGGAAAGCTCCTTTGTTGACCAGGAAGAAATGTACAATGTAAGCTTGGCAAAATGCAAAATCATAGTAATTTTAAGTAAACTAATGCTTTCACACCCATGCATACACAATATAATAAGCAAGTCTGGAAAAATAAGGCAATAAAATAATTTTCTACATATTACTTGTGTCAAACCTGGTGCAGAGGCCGACTTAGAATCTGGGTTGGCCAGAGAATCATCTGGTAGGAACCATGTCCACTCCAATACTGCGAAAGAGGAAAGCAGAAAGGGACAAAAAAAAAAGCGAGAATAAAAAAGCGGAAAAGAGAAAAAAACAGAGAAGGATAAGATAAGGAAAATAGAAAATGCAGGAAAGGGTGGAGAGTAGAGGAAATCAAAGGATGAAGCAAGATTGTTCTGTAATTCTAATGACCCAAAAGACAACTCTGCCCCGTCCATGGCTATTCTGCCTCCAAGGTTGGGTCTCCACCACTGTTCAGTGCAGAAGAGCAATACCAAGTCTGGGCATCTTAACCCAAACAAGGTTCTGCAAGTGCAAAACAACTAAGGCTGTCTGCTGATTCTTAGACTTCCTTGACATACGCAGCAATGCGCAGAGAATAGATAGCGCCAGAAATATAAAGATCCCCAACCCAAACGGAAACAAAGTAATCCATTTTTGATTGATGCGTCTCATAAATGTGTAACCAAAGACATAAAATGTGTTCTAGACAATGATACATTTGAAAATTATTAGTTTGTAAAGAAACCCAACAGGAAGCATCAACTAACATCATTCAGAAGTCAATAATCACACTTACCCATTTTAATATGACAACACAAGATGTAAAGGTCATAATTTCAGGAGATGTTTGTGTTTAGAAGACTCTTTGCAAAGTAGCAGGCATTATACATGAATGCACTAATGAGACAATATTGCCACGTACCTGTCTTAAGGCAATGCTGATCAAAGTCTTGGCAACAACTGTTGTAACTCTTACACAGGTTGTCGCAGCGGCATGCGGGGGCATCGGCTTCTTGAAGTTCAAAACATCGACCCTTACAGGACCCAGAAGTGCTGATCCAAGGGGAATCCGCTAGGACTAGAACATAAATAGATAGTGGTTACAAACACAAAATGCATTGTGTACCTCTACATACTGTAATCTTTGGTAAAGACTTAGAAACAGAGGTGAAAACATTTAGCCCTTCCATTGAATATTCCTGCCAATTATTATTATTACTACAATTATTATCATTATAATGATGGATTTATATATCAACAAACAATTTGCACAGCACTTTACAAATTAAAGGGAGATGGTAAAGTTACAAAAAAACAATTCAAGAGAAGAGGGTTAGGAGGTCCCGGCTCAAGAGAGCTTACAATCCAAAAGACAACGGAACTAATTTACAGTAGAATAAGAGAGAGGGGTCAGGTCACCAGCCTATACCTGAATGGTATTTGTTCTGATCATCATTTGTTTCAGTTTACCGAGCCATAGGTAAAATAGTAATTTTCTGCAGCTGTTTCAGCCACCTGTGAGCAGCTAGCTCACCTAGCTACCCTGTACACTTCAAGGACAGGTTGGCAGCATCCATCACAGCTGTCCACAGGGCTGGAGATTGCCTGCAGTGATTGCTGCTGGATGCATAATACTGTGGAAAAAGACACAACCCCATGCTGCCACACCACTGTCCACAGTTAACCCTATAGTCACCAGGAATTCAGGCATCTCCTGCATGGAAAGGAGACTTCATGCTGCACATCCAGCACGCCTTAATTAAAAGACATTCTCTCCCTCTTTGCAGTAGGATGTAGCCTTAATGGATGAGCCAGCCTCATGAACCAAGCTCCTTAATGCTTGTTCTCTCCCCTCCTTGAGCCCTACCCTTGCCTGTTGGCTTTCCTCCTTGGGCCTGTCACCATACAGCACCAACTCACCGTTGACTGATACGTTGTGTTATGCCACTGCTTTTGCCCTGATCTCTTCATTAAACACCTCGCAAAACGTGTTGGGACATCTCTCTTGCCTTATACTCACCATCTGGAGGCCTACAATTAGTAGCAACTATATTGTTTAATACATGTTTGGCTATGATTGATTGATTATTCTTGTATTAGATGAGAGGTTGAGTGGTGGGAGTTATATGTGAACAAAAGCAAAACAGGGCGTACTCTCTTTGTGCATTAACATAGTAAACCAAGAATTTATTATAAAGCATAAAAATGCATACTCACAAGCCAAATTCTTGGTTTACTACGTTAATGCACAAAGAGAGTGCACCCCGTTTTGCTTTTGTTCACCAGTATCAAGATTTCACGATTCTTTAAGGGCTGCACCTCTTTGAATGACAGTTTCAGTTATCTTAGTCAGCATGAAGATTTGAATGCTGGTTTCATTTGTTCAGTGGGAGTTATATCTAGGGGTAATTTTCTGCTAATTTTCTAATACTTTTTTTTTTCTTATTTACTTTTATATGAAGTGTGCTAATCATTTTTTAATCATGCACAATACAGTTTTTGCTTTTATTATTATACAGTATTTATAAAGCGCCAATAGTTCGCTCAGCGCTGTACATTACAGAGGGGGACAGAACATGTGACAGAACAATACCAATAGAATGCAAAACATGAGGGGATTGAGGGCCCTGCTCTTTCGAGCTTACAATCTAGGAGGGAGGGGATGGTGGCACAGGAGGAGATAGCTGTGGGGGATGGAGTGGTAGGAAGAGTGGAGGAGGTCGGCAAGTTAGCAGGGGGTGGGGTAGGCTTCCCTGAAGAGATGGGTTTTCAGGGTGCACCTAAAGGAGAGGAGAGTAGGTGATAATCTGATGGGTTGGGGCAGGGAGTTCCAGAGGATGGGTGACACCCTGGAGAAGTCCAGGAGGTGGGCATGGGAGGAGGAGACCAGGGAACTAGAGAGAAGGAGGTCTTGTGAGGAGCGGAGAATGCGTGCTGGGTGGTACTTGGATATTAGGAATGACTTGTTTCTTCTTTGGTGAAGTGTTTGCACCTTTTGAAAGTCCCATCTTTTGTCCTACATTTATTTTATATTTACTTACAGGGATGTGGTGCATTTTGTACTTACTAACACCAAGTGTTCTTACAGTCACCAGGAATTAACCCTTCAAATGCAATATCCACATAACATTTTAAACAACTGTGACATCACAGAACCAGCCAGAAGACATGTGGAAAAAAAAAAATATGTAAAAGGAGGGGCACCCCCTGCCCTCAAGGAGCTTAGAATCGAAGGTTCCCATCTCATGCATATACTAGGGCCAATTTAGACAGGAACCAATTAACTTACCCAGCCTGTCTTTACAGTGTTGGAGAACTCTGGAGTACCTGCAAGATACCCATACAAGCACAGGGAGAACATGCAAACTCCATGCAGAGTGTGTCCTGGTTGGGATTCAAACCGAGGAACCTAGTGCAAGGCAGGAGTGCTAACTACTAAGCCACTGTGCTTTGAATAGTGTATGGAATGGCTAAAACCACTGACAGTTTTCTTTTTTTTTCACCATCTGAATCTTACTTGGGCCAATTCTCTTAACCAGATCTATCAGAACGTGAAGGAAAATCTTTCAAAAGTGAGGGAAACCTAGAACAGGAAAAGAGGGGAAATCTTTCAATGAGGACACTTTTTGCAGTGACAGCTCAAAAGTTTGGATTTTTCTTTATCACAAAGCTATGTGCATCCAATAGAGAGCCCATACAAATGCCATAATGAGAAAATGAAACAACAGGAAGTGATTGAACCAGGACCTTCATGGCAGGATCACCAGGTATTTTAAAGTGGTTGTTACGTCAATGCATTCCCTGCATTAAAGGTATAACAACGCCACACTATAGGTTTTACTCCCCATCCCTAAACACTTACCTGACTGACTCTCACTGTTCCAGTGCTGTCCTAGCTGCTGCAGCACCACTCCTCTTACTTCCTGGTCTCATAAGAGACACAAAGTAGTAGGCTGCAGTCAGTCAAGCTCTTGTGAGGAAGGAGTAGATGCATGGTTTGCCGGTGCTCTGTGTGTTTATGGATGCACACAGCTTAGCTCGGGGCAGGGGCGGACTGACAACTCATGGGGCCCCCGGGCAATAGGGGATCATGGGGCCCCTGTGTCCTTGCCCAAACTCAAAAAAGCCTATGAAAAAAAGGTACCAGTGGTATCTCATGGGGCCCCCTACTGACCCCGGGCCCTCGGGCAGTGCCCGAGTATCCAAATGTTCAGTCCGCCCCTGGCTCGGGGGCATGCACGAGTGTCCCCTTAGCACCTTGATTACTAAGTGGGCATTCAGAGGAGCAGACAATGCTGGTGGGGGCCTGCTAAAGAGGAGGTAAGGGACTGCTTTGTGCAAGGTCATTGCACAGAGCAGGTAAGTATAACATTTTTTATTTTAAGAAAAAACAGAAATAACCTTTAATATCACCTTAATGACAGCTGAAGATTTAAACAGATTGAAAATGGCTTTTGGAATGATATGACCATGCTTATATTTAATTTTAGTGATTGGATTTACATCTACTTTAATCCCATTTGTGGTGCTCTGCAGGACACTGGATTATTCACTTTCTAAGGAGTTTTAGTATTGTAAAATTAGAAGATTTTTTGAATGAATAGGAACCTCGACCTCGTTGAACAATGACCATTTACCACCTTAAAAGTACTGTAGCTCTAAACTGAATTACTAAAATCTCATAGAAGCTTTAATATGTTAATGTTTTCAATCTTTCTGAAATAAACTTTCATTAAAATATAATTAGGTGGGGATATTGCCACTTCCTGCTATATAATGAAGCACTCACCCTGAAACCATCCCTGAAAGGGCCTGCTGTTTTGCCCCAGGTTCTTTTCCAAAACTACTGCAGAAGCAGCGAGGCACACAGTATCAGTCACTCTTCTGGCTCAATTAACAGTCTAAGGATATCTTCTTTTGATGCTTTATTATAAATGAAGCTTAGACAGGGTGCAGGGAAGCTGTGGGATACTCCAGTAGCACAATATAGAAATAGGAGGACACATCCTACTTTCTCAAGGCTTCTTAACATAGTCTCCAGCAACAACTAAGGAACTGAGCAACACTGAGACACCATAGAAAATGTCCACAATCTGATCAAGCTCTGGTACTGATGCACAAGGGATAGTCGCAGCAAACAGTCACTGGGATCTTACACTCAGGTCTATACTGACAATGTCCCTGGATACTTGTTTGCCTCCTTACAATGTCAGCCAGACATTTCTCTTGTGAACTCTCCAGACCAGATTCTTAGTGAAATCCCTTAATCAGTTCAACTAAGATTCAGTAGAACAGGTTCCCCAGCTCTAGCACAGCTGGGACTTTGATGAGCACATGTAGAGGTACAGCTGGATTGCCCAGAAGAGTAGCATCCCTTCAGAATGGTAACCTCTCCACCTGGACAAGCACCCAGCTGCCTCAGGCCTCAGACTATTTATGCACTTCCTAGTCACCTACTGGGCACCCCTCTCACAAGGATTGGCTGGGACCACTTAAAATATTCAGGCTGTGAACCTTACTTTCAGCCCAATACATTCCAGAATCCTCCAGAAGGCAGTAGGAAGCAGTAGAACCTGCAGCCAGTGAAGCCCCGAATAGCCCAGAGTGCTTCACCGATTACAGGGGAGCCAAAAAAAAGTAAATCTACCTAGCCCATCCAGGAGGGTACCACAATAATGACAACCGTCTCCAATTGTGCTTCTACACTGTCACCCTGTCACATGGGCTTCTGGTGGAGGCTACAAGCAGCCTTACTGGCACACATGGCTCTTCATTGTCTCGATCGTTAAACCAGTCCAAAACAATGACAGGGAATGGAAAAAAAAAAAAAAAAAAGGGGGAAAAAAATGAAACGCATGGAAATTATTTGTGTTATACAGTGGTTTTGTTTAGCTTTTTTTTTTTGTTAGAAACAGATACATTAGAACCCAGAAGAGTGATGGCAGAAAGTCAGTGATCCATCAAGTCATTAGTTTCCAACATTACTCTTGCTAATTTGAGGTCATATCCCCGTGGTCTTAATCTTAGCTTCATAAAAGCTAGTATGGTGTTATATTATAGTGATCTATATTTTAGTTT